TTTAGCAAGGTATGAGAACCATCGAGGCCTACACCGAATCGTTCTGTGGTTTGGCTGGCTATGTGGACTTGGAGGGATTGTGTGCTCAAAAAAAAAATATATATATATATATATATATATGTATGACAATATATATATATGTGGTGCTCTGATCTGTCAGCGCCCCTGTGGTCTCCTTCTCTGCTGCGGTGATCTCCTTCTCAGCCGTGGTGGTCTGGCTTTGCTGTGGTGTTCTGGTCCACTGGTGCCCAGGGGTGATTCTAGGATTTTCATTTTAATAATAATAATAATAATAATAATACTGTGTCTAGACCTATGTCCAGTTGAACTATGCACACTGCAGTTACCTACACAAATATGTAGACGAAGATTAAAAGTTAAATATATATATATATTATACCCCCAATGAGGGTATAATAAATATATATATATATATAATAAAAAAAATTTTGACTAATAGGGGTGGTATAATAAACTTATATACCAAAAAGTGCTGTATTCCACTGTATTGCTGTTACGGGGCTGACGAGACATGAGATGTGCGGATCCAAATGCAAGGCTTTATTCATAGACATGGTTAGAGACAGGCAAGGGTCAGATAATGGCAACGGGTATATAGAGGGCAAGACACAAGAATATTCCTAGGGCTAGCGTGGGTCTACGTTTGGCGAACAGAATTAACAGGGCGAGACTAGAGGGGTAAATCCAAGTACAATGCAAAGGTCCAGGCAGGGGCAAACAGAATCAGAATAGGGCAAGACGAGAGGGAGAATCCGAGGTACACAGGCAAAGATCAACTATGTGTGTGTAATCAGTGCAGTGGATGATGGGAACTGTAGTCCGGGTGAAGTGCAACAGTGGTGTGGTGCAAGAGTCCATAGTAGTGGAAGAGTGACCTCTGGTGGCGGGAGTTCATGGACCGGATTCGTGACAATTGCATAGATGGGTATAACATATAACTGAATAAGCCAAATACAAATCTTAATGATCTCTCTCTCACACACACATACACACACACACACACACCTGTTTACTGTACACACACAAAATTTTACTGTTTGCATTTCTAGTACAACACTCTTTCCTTAGCTCAAGTATGCAAACCTCTTTGCCACATGCACTGGAATATGTATTACATTTAAAGTTAAATTTTCAAATGAAAATGGCAACATGATTGTTTTATAAAGTATGCGTTCATATGTGCTTCATTTTCACTGGAGGAAACAGCTGTGGTGTGATGAGGGGTGAACGCAGGAAAAACTTTACAGTAGATGTGGAACCAATTGCTCCCCATGATATTTTTTAAACAGTATTTATGACAAAGAACTGCGCAGATGCAGATATTATAACAATCTATCAATAAACACAGACCTTGTCCTCTGTTTCTCGCTCTGCGTCGTCGCGGTCTGCTAATTGAAAAAGAACTCGCTGAAAAACGGGGAGGAGCCGATCGAAGTCTGCCACCTTTTTCATATGAAATTTAAAGGGGACTGAGGCGATCACGAATTCGTGTACAGTTTATGGAGCTAATCGCAAAATGTTAGGGGGGCTGAGTAGTCATATAGCTATAGCCCCCCTAAAAATCGCCTAGCGACGCCCATGCTGGTGCCCCTGCTCTGCAGTGGTGGTATTCTGCTCCCCTGGCACCCCTGTGGTCTCCCTTTTCTCCATTGTCCCAGAGCCCAGGCCCACTTTCACCTCATAATCCTGGCCAGTCATCCTGTCATCCATCAGATGAAAATTTGGTTCTTGTTTTGTTGTCCTTTGGTGTGACAGGAGCCATTCCTTAGGTGGGGGGCTATATTACTTATATGCTGCATATAAGCCCTTGTGTTGACCTTGTTAATGTGTCAGGTCTTGTTCTTACATGAATGTTACGTTTTGGCTCAGTTTCATTTTATATGTTTCCTGGTTCCAGTGTTTTGTGTACTTTTGTTATTTTTACAACATTAAATAATATACAACTGGATCATGCTCTCTTCATGTTTCTGAGTTCACCAAATGTTGTAACATTTAAAAATGTATGTTTGTGTGTTGGAGAGAGTAGCGTATTGGTGTATTTTGTTCAAATTCAGTATGACACTCTGCATTAGAGTTTCCATGGTTTCCCACAAGCTTAGCACACACTCTACATCTACTCATCCCCATATCACCCAAAACACACTCACTCATTTGCATATTGCCCAGTTATGAATTGGGAGATGAAGGCTGAGGGAGAAAAAAAGAATGTTTGAGCAAGTGTTTCATATCCTTTTTTTTACATTAGCGTCTGGACAAAAGAGACATCAATTAATTTCTGAGAATGTTATGTGTCTCGACTATATTTTCACATTTTTCACAGGAATGTGTGGTGGAGTGTGAGGAGCATCTGAATGCAGGCAGCTCTTGGAGTTTGTGCAAAAGTTTTATTCAGAATGCTGATAACACTCCTGAGGGTAACCGAGCATCCACAGCAACTGAACACTTGGACACCCAACAGCACCCAGTAGACAAAAAATATGGTGGCTTCATTAAAGCGGTATGGGAGTTTTATGAAGCGTTATGGAGGCTTCATGAAGCGTTATGGAGAATTCATGAAGAAGACTGCAGAGCTATATGGGCTGGAGCCAGAGGACGTTGACCAGGGCAGAGTAATCCTGACTAATCATGATGTTGAAATGCTGACCAATCAAGTTGAGGCTGATGGCGGGAGGGAGGAGGAGGTTCTGACAGACGTCCATGATTCAAAGGGAGGAGCACAGGGTGTAAAGGGTATGGCAAAACGTTATGGGGGCTTTATGAAGAGGGGACAGTTTTATGACTTGGAGAGTGGGGTTAAGGCTACAAAAACGATATGGGGGCTTCATGAGGCGTGTAGGTCGACCGCAGTGGTGGCAGGAGTCTAAACGCTATGGAGGCTTCTTAAAACGCTCCCAAAAGGAAGATGAAGATGAAAATTAATCAGAAATAGAAAAGAGGTATGGTGGATTCATGGGATATTAAGATGGTCTTTTCTGCTGTGCCCTAGTCCACTTCCTCTCTAGCCCCTTAGACACCACCTGAGAACCGACAAAGGAAACATGCTTTAAATGCGCTCATAATGTATTAATAAAGTGTTTGTTATGTCTTTATTGTGGTAATATGATTTAATGTGAATAAGACTTAAAGGGGTCATATGATGCTTTTTAAAGATCATTATTTTGTGTATTTGGTGTAACAGAATATGTTGACATGCTTTAATTCAAAGACCGTGGATATATTGTCTTAACATTACACATTGAATCTGAATTCAAAATTATATTTACAAGTTGTGTAGCAGATTTTAATAACCAGGATTACCTCTACTTCTGACTAATGCAACCATTTTCCTTTTTCTTTTTTTTTTTATAAACAACAATTTTGCATGAGACATTCATTCAGTCTTACAAGAGGACAATTTTTGAGAAAATAAGACATTTACTTCTCCATTACATGGTTTATTTCTTCATGACACTTGTCTTTTACACATACTTTTTGGGGGGACCAGTCTGAATCTTGTCATGTGCTGTATAGCTTGAATAAACTGCTCGAAACTGCACTAGAATGTGCGTCTTGAATAGAAATGCCAATATTTTGTGCATAAGACATCAGCATTCTCTGTCTGAGGTTTGTGCCTCAGTAGCCTTTTGTTAGTAAGTAAAAGCAAGTTGCATTACTCTTCTGAATTGGGATTATGATGATGTCTCTAGACCAAGTGTGTTTATTTGAAAGTGGCAGTGTAATTGCATGTTTTATGATGTGAGTTAGCAATGAAAAGCACTTCTACTAATGGCATGACTATCATGAATCTCAATCAAGGCAAGAGGTAGTACTCAATACAATTAAGGCAAGAGGTAGCACACTTTCAGGGGGATTTGAATTTGTGAAAGTTTTCAGAAATATTATCCTGCATGAAAAATTCACCATGCAAGGTCTTTATTATACAGATTTCAAGCACCACTAAAAAAATAATAAACTACAGCAATAAACTACAGAATGTTATCACTGTCTCTAATTGAATGTGCTTTACATGTAGCATTTAAGCCAGATGTCTCTTACCTTTGATTCTTAGCATAACCATAAACCTACAGTTGCTAAACAAGAGCTCTGCCAGGCATTAAATAAAAGTCTAATATATATTTTAGGTTTCTTACTGGGGATATCAAATCAAAGGGTTATCAAGAAAGCTGTAGGTTCTCCATAGTTCACTCATATCAGTAATGGGAATTCATAGTAAAAGTGTATCTTCTTCCCAAATCCCACTTTTTTACACTAATTGTCACTTGGGCTATGAAAGTCAATGGTATTAAGACTAGATACAACCTTTGTTCTGTGAAAAGTCTCATGAGATTCACAAGTATCTTTCATACACTGTTTATTTGGAGTGCAATAACCTAATAACTAAATGCTTGTTCAAACCAAGGATGATAACTGTAATGAAATAACTATTAACATCCACACTATAACAGACGAAAACATTCAATTTATTCATGCGCTGCTTATGTTTTTATCATTCATTCATTCATCAACTGGACAAAATTCACTGTAAGTGATCTCAATTATTTTGTTACTCTGATATTAGTGTGATATGGACTGATATTCTCTCTCTCTCTCTCTCTCTCTCTCTCTCGTAAGCATTATGGCTATTGATATGATTATGGTTATCAATGTTTGTGTGAACAGACATTAATTATGTGTAATCTTGTTATAGAACAAGGTTTACCATCCTGACAATGCTAGCTTAATAAAGATTTCATGCCACAAAATGGGGTTCAGAAAACAACTCATCTAAATTCCATAATTCTTTTCTAAGGTGAATGTTTACCCAGGTGGTTGTAAATGCCAGGCTAAGACCCACCTATGAATTTCTCCACCATAAACTTTATGAATTTACTCAAGGCAACTGATGAAGTTTTAATGCAATAGTTGCTTTGAGCAGCCAGTTTATTTTATCCTATGTGCGCGTTGTTAAGGAAACTCGCGGGCGTCAAATGGTTAAACATATGCCGCGCCCATCACATCCTGTCCCGTTAGTAGCTTACTCTCGGTACACAAATACTGGACTTTGTCTTTCAGTAAACACGAAGTGTAATAATTGGGCAGGCAGAGCGAAGGTCGATAATCGAACCACTCGGTTAAATGCTAAATGAATGGAGCAAACCTGCTGTTGTATTAGTGAGCGATAATCGAAACGAGTGAGGTAAGACACCAGTATGGTTATTGAGCATTAACAGACAAAGAGTAAATACGATTATATGACAACTTTACAGTATATGACAACTACGTTACATGACGCCTAAATTACCAATTTGTGTTGATGTCGTCGTAAATTTACTATTGTTAAAAACTGAATAAACTTGCTGACCGAATAACCCTTGCGTCTCTAGGATCTATTCATCATCATCATGCACTTTCTATTGGAGACTCTTCAGGTGCTTTTCATGTCACTGGTGTACAGCTTAGAAACTTTCGTTAGGTTATTTATACCGCCTCGAATGAAGAATGTCTCCGGGGAGATCGTGTTGCTGACCGGGGCGGGCAGCGGCATAGGTCGCCTCATGGCCCTGGAGTTCGCGCGCCTGGGCGCGCGCCTTGTGCTGTGGGATATTAATGAGAACGGTAATAAAGAGACTGCTCGTATGATTAAAGAAACGCACGGAGTGCGAGCGTACACATATACCTGTGACTGCAGCGACCGGGAGGAAGTGTACAGAATCGCAAACCAGGTAGAATACGTTGCACCTCAGTACAAAGACATGTACAAGTACACTACATGGAATCTTCGTCTACATATTTGTGTAGGTAACTGCAGTGTGCATAGTTAAACTGGACATAGGTCTAGACACAGTATTATTATTATTATTATTATTATTTCACAATAATATTTTTAGGTGTATTAGGATATTTATTTGTCAATTTTAATGTGATTAGCCTTTTAATTTGAGGTCAGGAAAAAATGTCATTGTGCTACAGGACCCACACAAGTGCCACATTTGTAATGACCATACATATTATGACCATAAACATTCACTCACTCAACGTTTATTTTCATTACACTGCAAAATGTTTTATCATTATAACAATGTCTATGAATCATTTTCAATGGTATCAGCTTGTTTTTTTAGTAAGTACAATCAAAATGGATGAAAAAATACAATGAACTGATGTGACTAAGTTCTAACTTTGGCACCTCTTTGCTACTTTCAGCTTCAAGACAACAGTAAACCAATTTTTGCGAGTTTACATTTTGACAGTCTAATAAGATCTTGTGTAATTCATGACTCAATCCCTTTGTTTTGTTAAGGTAAAACGTGAGGTTGGTGATATCATAATTTTGATAAATAATGCAGGAATTGTTACTGGGAAGAAGTTCATGGAATCTCCTGATTCACTCATAGAGAAGTCTATGGAGGTCAACAGTCTGGCACATTTCTGGGTATGTCAGTACACTATCTATCTATCTATCTATCTATCTATCTATCTATCTATCATCTATCTATCTATCTATCTATCTGCTTCGAAATTATGCTATCTTATCTATCTGCTTCGAAATGATGCTAAAACAAAGTATGCATGATAGCATATTTATCCTCTTAGATGTACAAGGCATTTCTGCCAGCAATGATTGCTGCTAACCATGGTCATTTGGTCAGTATTGCAAGCTCCGCTGGACTTATTGGAGTAAATGGACTGGCAGGTAGATGTTCTCAGTTAACAATACAAATCTCTCATTTAGAAATAAGTACACATTTCAAATGACAATTGTGCTTTTGAATGTTTTATACAGATTATTGCGCAAGTAAGTTTGCTGCAGTTGGCTTTGCTGAGTCAATGGCACTAGAGCTGCTGGCCATGGGCTGTGATGGAGTGAAGACCACCATAGTCTGCCCATTTTTCATTAACACTGGCATGTTTGATGGTGCCAACACAAAGTAAGAAACATATTGTCTCTAAAAAAAAAAAACAGAACCTACTTTTCCTACCTACTTAACCAACATTTTCTGTACACTGTAAAATCCAATAATTTACTTTACTTAGATTTAATTAGTTATCTTTACTTAGTTGTTATACTTACTAGGGTTTATTAAGTTATAGCTACTGTCTCACTTTCAAGGCAAATAAAACAATTTACTTACTGTTTTGAGTGACACTTACTTAAAATATTCAAGTAGCCTCAAAGGAACCAATGACATTAATAAACCAGTGAGAGGCAGCAGTGCGCTAATATGTTGCTAATGTGCAATATTGTCCGATCCTAACAAATCATACATCAATGGAAAGCTTATTTATTCAGCTTTCAGATGTTATATAAATCTCAATTTCTAAAAATTGACATTTAAGACTGGTTTTGTGGTCCAGGGTCACATATACCCTATACTGTGTGCCTTTTGCCCCATGTGGTGAGACTTTTACCCCGTGTGAGGTAAAATATCCTCCCTTGCCACCTCATACATTTATAAGATTTTTAAACAAGATAAACTACTTATATGATTTATTTTCACGCAATATCTGTTGGTCCATAAATGTTCAATACAAACACACACATATACAGGTGCATCTCAATAAATTAGAATGTCGTGGAAAAGTTCATTTATTTCAGTAATTCAACTCAAATTGTGAAACTTGTGTATTAAATAAATTCAGTGCACACAGACTGAAGTAGTTTAAGTCTTTGGTTCGTTCAATTGTGATGATTTTGGCTCACATTTAACAAAAACCCACCAACTCACTATCTCAACAAATTAGAATACTCCATAAGACCAATAAAAAAAAAGGTCACTAATTAGAAGTACAAAACGAGGATTTGTAATATATGGATTTCGATATAAGCCAGGAGGAGACTTGTTTTCCTTTGCTAAAGTAAGGAAACTTTGCTTCTTTTGATCCTGTAAACAAACGTTGGTTTTCATGAGACTCACCGGCGCATGCGCAGCACTGACCTCATACGTCATTCCCCCGGAACTGCTTCCGTGTACAACTGTTGGCGCAAGCTAGATTCAAGTGATTATTACGTTTTGAATATGGATATTTTTCTTACAAAAAAGCATCGATTCGCTACAGGAGGCCTTTGTTCACCCCCCGGAGCCGTGTGAGACACTTTTTTTTGTGGAAGGGTGCTTTTTATTTCACGTCTTTTGAACAGAAGGTTTTTTTTGTTTTTTTTTACATTTCTTGAATATTATAAGGGAATTGTCTGCCTTTAGGGTTAGTAAGAGTATTCCACCAGTGAGGAACAATGCACATGAAATTTGTGAATACATGGGGAAGTGATAATGTGTCTTTCTGTGGTGGTACCATGAGTCACTGCTCACTTACCAACTGCAGGCTTTTGGAGGGGATGCAAATTTTTATGAGTGGAGCTGAGAGAGCACAGAGTGAGTGGCTGTTCTGCACACAAACCTCAAACATGCAGTGCACTTAAACATGCATTACATTGTTATATAAGATGTTGAAAAAACTTAGAAACAGTTTTTACCCTGGGTTTCTGCATATCTATAAAAAAATTGTTTTTTGAGAAAGAGAAACTCATGTAAGACAGACAGAATATGACAGAGGTCATGCAATTCACCAGTGCCTTAGATTGGTGTGTGAGTGTGTGTGTTTTTCTCTCATTCTCAATATGGAAGAGTGTTTGTATGTTTGGAATTTGTTGCTGGTTGAATTGTCTAACTGGGTCACAACCCAAAGAGGGCTACAGGTATGTTTGCAGACAACAGGGAAAAAGCAATGCTAAATGCAATTAAGAATTATTGTCTAACTGTCACAACCAAAAGGTGGGTTGCAGGTGGGTTCAGTGCATGAAATTACTTAAATGGTCAGTATTCTCATTCAGCCTATGTCAAAGTGTTAATTTAGTTGACAAATAATTTTCGAAAAAACAGTTGTAGCAGTTATAAAAATAAAAAAAAGCATTGTAGCAGTTATTAAAAATGAAACAAAAATGGTAGGGAGGGATGATTTGGGAAGAGATGGAGTTCTCAGCTGAGCGGTGTGCTTGTATATTTATTTTATTAAATTATTATTATTTACAAGAACAACGTGAAGAGAGCATGCACAGCTGTTGTTTATATTGTTGTGTGTAGCCTGTGAAAGTAACGTTAGCTGCAGCAAGGGGCTATAATATTTTTCAATATTTTCCTAATGAAAATTTTATGATTGGTTTATAAAGACTACTATGAACATATTTTTTCCCATTTTTATGACAGAATAAGGCAGGAAATATATTTTATAGTTTCTATACTAAATGATGTGTCAATCAGTAGGCTACTGCATTATTCATATAGTTTTTTAAGGTAATATTTATTTATTACCTGGAGATAACTTGAAAAACACACATAAACCATATATTTTCTCAATTGTGTGTTCATTGTCTTCACATTTCATTAGTAAAAATGTCTCAGCTTTTTATTCAGATCAGCTACAGCGATAGTCGGATGCTTTTGTCCATATTAGGGTTTTCCTGCATGTCATAAGTTATTACTTCTATGAGTCCGTTTTGAACTTTCTGCACAAGAGCGCCCTCTGGTTTCGAGTATGAATGAAATATACACTGCATGAGAGTTCAGCGCTCCTGATGTTCACATCTCCTCATTTTAGATACGAATAAAAAGTCAGGTCATGCATAGACTAGTATCGATACTATCTCTTTGAATTTAAATCTAGAAACCTCTATGTGAACACACCTGCCCGATTAAAGTGCGGGGGACGAATTTACATTTTATTAAAATTAAATAGCCTATTTATTAAATATTAAAAATGCAGCTAACATAGTTCTACACACAACAATATAAACAAAGGTGCCTATTCTCTTTCGTTCTTGCTGTTTGATTGGGAAAAGTTTAAAGGGCGTCGAGGGGTCTTGTCTTTATAATGTTATATGACAAAAACTATTCATACTTTGAACTACTATTATTACAGTATTTATTTAAAAAACGTAGAGTGTTTTCAAAATAATTATCACAACACTGGTAAAACAGGCTTATACTGGTTTTCTCATCCTCCGAATTATACTTATCAATACTGTTTTTATTATCATTATCATTCAAAAAATGAATAAATTCAGAACAGGATTAGAATAGAATTCTATTTTAAATAAGACAGAAATATTTTTTTCTACAACAGCAACAGTAGTGTTTACAACAGCAAAACCACCATACCCTGTAAACTAAATAATAATAATAATAATAATAATAATATCAATAATATAATTCAGTTTCTAATTCCAGAGTAATTAAGAGGTGCAAAGAAAAAATTCTTTAACTTTTAAACTTAAAATGGTATTTTCTGTTCTGTGATTCTTTTTCAAAATTGCGTCACGGCATTTGCTACTGTATCAATACAGAAGCATCTGTTTCGACACACTTATCAGCAAGGAGCACAGCCCTATTTAACCCTCTGGTATTCATAGGCGGAAATCCCGAGGGGGTCGGGGAGGGACAGGAACCCCCAATCTGAAGGTTGTCCCCCCTAAAAATATGATTAAAACCATGCTGTGTATTGTAAATATCAATGTTTTATACTTTAAATAACTTTGTAAGTAGTAAAACAACACAAACGCAAACGGGGCAAAAATGCGTTTAAAGTTTATAAATATTTTGAGTCTCCCCCTCCCTTGCCTCACAGTGCTTTGGTCCAAATGCCTGCTTTCCTCTTTTACATAACCTCAGTGTTGCCAAGTCCGACTCAGAAAACCGTATATCAGAAGTTTAAACTTATATAGTTTAAAACGTATGATTTCAGCACGATAAACATGATAATCAGAACCAAAATAGATGTTTTTTTGCAGGTACGAGCTGTAATGGCGCAGCCAGTGTTGCAAAGAATTGGTCTACTTTAACACTGTTGCCGCGGGTTGTTTTTCATGTCCGCGGGTTGAAGCGCCCCCAATAACGTGATATTTAGCCCCTGGAATGTACTAGTTTTGAGTAGCAATTGGGCGTTTTTTCCCCGAAAACTGGCAACCACAAGTCCGGTGAGCGAGAACAAAGTCAATAGTTGTGGAACTGGCTGTCAAGGCTATTTTATTCATATATATTTATCACATATATATTTTTTTGATGAGTCCACTATGTTAGCAATAATAACATTACCTTTTTGACGGATAGTAATGTCTACAACGGACACGACCGCTTTAGCGGCGCAAGCACAACAGCTTTAGTTGTCTAATTTGACACTGTCTCCCTGCTACACTAATGGTAGTAAGGCTTTCCTCTGTGTATACTTATCCTTAGAAGTACAATTTTAGCTGTATTATTTGTGTCCCCTTCAAAAAAAGTTTATTGTCCCCCCCCTACTGATAGACGAAATTTACGCCCCTGCTGGTATTGTTCATTTGGGAGTCACACTTGTGTTGTTCGCTGTCAAAAGTGACCGGACGCCTGAAAAACTTTTTTTTTATTTTCAGTGAAATCAATGTGAGATATTTTTGTTCGATAATATTTTTTCTTTTGTATTTTGAGAGAAATTCATGGTAGTATTTAATATTTATGCAATAATTATGATACACATTGAAAATAATAATAATAAAAAATCCTAATATTTTTCTATTACTTTTCAATTATGGCAGTATTTTATGTTAAAATAGAGACAATGCTTTTAAAATAAAATTTTTGAAGGAAGATTAGTTCCATCTGATGGGAGTAAAAAAAGAAAAACATATGAAATTCCGTGGTTTAGCCACTTTCTGTCACGATGTGGGTTAGATGAGGCACACAGCGAAGGGGTAATCCAAAGGTAAGACTTTAATTGACAATCCAAGAGTTTAACACAGAATAACATAGGAGATTAACACCACAACGTAACTTTAAAGCAAGACAGTGGAACTGAGGAAAACTCAGGGTATATAACCACATGGAACATAATTAGGGAGAACTGAAACAGGTGGAGAATTAAATCAAAACAGGTGAACAGAATAGACTAATCAGGGGCTTGACTGCTGAGCTGCCGGTGGGCTTGACTGAGGAGCGACCGCGGTTTCTGGGCTGAGAATAGGTAAGGGTCTTGTAGTCGAGGATGGACGAAGGGAGGCGGCTTTGAGCGCTGATCGGACTGATGTTATAGCTGGGTCCGCAATCTTGGCTCCCAGGTCTGCGCTGTTAGATGCCCACTTACGGGCTCGAGGGAACCCGGAAGGAGCAGAGGACACAGATCCATTAGAGCGGTATGTGGAGGTTACCGGCATGCGGTGAACTGGCGAGGCCAAGTGCTTTTTAGTGGGGGCTGTATGAGAACGAGTCGAGTTATTTTTAACTTCTTCCACTTCAAACTTTGAACCGTTTAAATAGAGAATGAGATTAATCATCTCGACCAGGGTGAATTCACATGCTGGATAACTATAACGAATGGTGTTCTCATCCAGCCCCAACCAAAACACAGCACGAGAAAGGCGTCAGGCCAGTTCACCTGATGAGAGAGCTGTGTGTCTGTGAGTGAGTGAGTGAGTGAGTGAGTGTGTGTGTGTGTCTGTTTTATACTCTTGATGTTTTAGTGTGTAACCCCTTCCTTGGTGTCTGTGTTTTTACTCCACTGTGGCTAAATTATTGATTTTATTTCACATATTTGCAAAAACATGCTTTGTGTTACAGTCACACTTCATATCTGTGTGTCATTTCTGTGCACTTTTTTTCTGCATCGTGAATAATTTGTAGGTTGTACACACAAAAAAGTATCTGTATTTTCGTAATTTTGAGTATTTCCCATTCATTTCCAATGGCGGTCATTTTTGACCGCGAACAACACAAGTGTGACAATTTTTTTTTACGAACATTTAGCTTTTTCGAATCAAGTCCACAATTTTTTTTTTTTAATCTATTTATTTATTTTTTGTAGTCACATAGTGACTGCCATAAAAGTCATCGAGTTTCGTACCATTCCGATTAATTAGCGATTTTTAAAATTTCAACAAAAAAAAAATTCCCGGTCTAAAATGACCGAACAATACCAGAGGGTTAAAGTCGTGTTCCATGTGCCCCTTTTATACTTTGAGCACCTGCCCCTCCAAAGGTCTCTGCATGGCCCTGAGCTAACATACACTTGCTGCACGTCATATAAAACGTTCAGAAATGTCAAAGTCTAGGAGTAAGAGAAGAGCAGACATATGGATTAATTTGAAAAAGCACGACGACGCGAAAGCGAACTATTCGGTCCGGTTTTCTAAGTGCACACACCCGAAGCACGCTCACAGAAAAGCATCTCTCAGACAGAGCACGAGTACTGAATTCAGTTCTTTCACGTTATCGTACATGAACGGAGAAATACACACAAAATGAGTATTCTTGTAAACACACTCGGTTACGTCTTAAGTGAATGTAAACAGTTAGGACAATATGTGTATCAGTATTCGGTTTTAAACAAAAGAAAGAGAGAAAATCACTCTCTACGGATTAATACGAATTAATCTAAATTTAATTTATAAATAAATATGTCTGCTTGAAAGAATGAAGAATGTTGTAAGCAAGTTGTTATAAAGAATGCATTTTATATAACCACTGGTATTTCATTGAAAATAAAACCATGTTCATATTCCCTTATGAGAAGTGGTTTTATTTAATTTTAATATAAAGACAAGTTGTGTCACAGCAGTTAAATTTGTGGCTATACTGCATGTTCAAACCTTAATATCATTCATATTACAAGGTTAATAGATGTTTTCTCCAGGAATATATAATGAGTTTGGATTTTTTAGAGAAATGCTTAATAAATGCATTACACTGTAACTAACCCATTAGATTCTAGTCGACTGAATCTACTGTAGATTTAGTCAACTAAAATATTATGATATTCAGTTGACTAAAACTAAAACAATTCAGATGACTAAAATATGACTAAAACTAAATTTCATTTTAGTCAAAAGACTGTCTATGACTAAGACTAAATCAAAATTTGCTGTCAAAATTAATACTGCTATGTCATGTTAATAATTTTGCATATTGTTGGGTCTGTGTAGTTCACTGAAATATTAATACATTTCATTGTGTGATTCTAGGGAGGTTTGTACAATTTTGTTCAGTTCAAATTAAAACTAAAATGTGTTAGCAAAGAGTGCTACAGTATTATCGGTAACTACAAGCATTTTCAAATTAGATAAAATATATCATACAGAGAGAAGGAGCCAGAGTTTGTTTAGAACCTTTTAGAATGATGGATATGAGAATATTTTGGGAATTCTGTGGGTGCAGATAACTTAAAGATTTAAAACAGGTTTTTATATGAAAATTGAGAAAAGGTCTTTGATTTCCCTCTCTCTTTGTTATCTGATTGTCTTGGATGTGGGAAGTTAATTGCCACTTGAGAGTAATATTTGTATGTTGGGATACCTTATTATTCCTGTAGTTCCTCTTATCTGCTTTGTAAATGCCTTCAAAGACAATCAAAAGTGCTCATACTGGTGTGTGTGTGTGTGTGTGCGTGCGTGCGTGCGTGTGTGTGTGTGTGTGTCTGTGTTTCGCAGATGGCCCAGAATCATGCCTATTCTTGAGCCGGAGTATGCGTGTAGGAAAATAGTGGATGCTGTTAGAAGGGAACAGGTTTATCTTTATATGCCTCGAAGCATCTACATTGCCATCGCTTTGAAGAAGTAAGTCATGCTGGACCTCAGTGTTAAAGATCTATTTTAGATGTGTATCTATTATAATAACAGAATTCTAAGCTGTTGTAAAATAGCTGCTATACAAGCTATAAAACTTAAAGGTGGGTATATCACCATTAGCAAAATGGGCTATATATATATATATATATATATACAGTAAAAAAGGTGTTTTTTTGTTTTGTTTGTTCGTTTGTTTAACAGCTCTACATGACAAGATACAACTTTAATATCCATAATACACCGGGTTCGATCTGTAGTCTTCACAAAAGCACTGAAACTGTCCACAGAATAATGTGTTTTACTTATGACAGTTCCAGTACCTTTTTCTTTTTGTGCTCTGACAAATAGCCTAAATAGGGATAATCTCAGTGCAGGTAACACTCAGAAAGAGTACACATTGTTAATTTACAACATTGTGACAATACAAAGCAAACTTATCTTTTAACCTCTCTGATCTAGGGTTGTCTTTCACCTGTCTCTTCACAAACAGTATGACAGACACATGTGAGACTACTAAAGTCTTTTTCTCAGTGAAGCCAAAATCTTAAGCTGCTTTCTAGTTGATGTGCAAGATAAATCATTTAGAAATTAAAATGGTCTCATTTGTGTGTTTTTTTTCAGTGTGCATGTATAACATTTTCCTTATCTGTCTTGTTTTTACTCTGTCACAGTCTTTTACCCACTAAAATGGGTGTGCTGCTTGGTGAATATCTAGGAGCATTCAACTTTATGGCTAAGTTCAAAGGCCAAGGCCATGGAAAAAAGAGCAAATAATTTCCACCACCAGAGGAATTGAGAAACAACCAGTGGACCTGTTGGACAAATCACAGAGATATGTGTCAGGAAACAAATCAGAGTACTGCCACAAAGTACCAAGAGAGTGAATAGAATAGTTACACATAAAACAAGCATGAAAGCACTTCTTACATTCAGCACTGTCTTAACCATTACAATTAACCAGTTTCCGTTTTTTGTTTTTTTTATAACAGCGATAAACTCATCTTGAGCCATTTGCACTTCATTTGCACCCAAGATAACATTTTGATGAAGAAAAACTGTGTCTTTGGCTTTAGAGGTTATAAATTGTAGATGGTTATTTCTGTTTTGTTTTTTTGTTTTTTATGTCTTCTTGACCAAAACTGAACTACCTTCTAATTAATTGTTTAATTGGTTTATTATTATGGCTCTTATTAATACATTTATGTTAATTATAATATTGGTGTCACAATCGTCTGTTCTAGGACTCTTATTTTGATGTTCATTGCTTTCCATTGTCCCTATGTTCTCATTTATTGTGCTTAGTTCCTGTGTCCTTGGTTGCTAGTGTTCCTTCGTTGGTTTCCATAGTTAATCATTTGATGTGTTTGAAATTGCCCCCTATTCCTTCATTCACTATTCCCTACATTAGTCCACTAATATAGTTCACTTGAAGAAGTGAATGAAAACGAGTGAGCAAATTCAGACAGAGTGCACCGGAAGGGCTGTCGCTTTTGCATTGTTTGTGCTTGCAGTTTAATAATCATAACTTAGCAAACTGGCAGCTCCAGTAGAAATGAAAAGATTTATCTCAAACTCTGTCATGGAAACTATAGCATGTATAAACCTTAATTAAACTATTTAATAATCAATTAAAAGGGAAATTTATACCTTGCATTATCACCACGTTTTCCTATTTAACACTGTAAAGCTACTTTGACACAATCTGCATTGTATAAAGTGCTATATAAATAAAGGTGACAGAAAGGTGACCTGTGTGATATTGCGCTGTACCCACATTGGACATTCGGGTTGGAAAATGGATGGATGGATGGATGGATGATTCAGCTGCAAGAGCCATCTTCTGGCCAGACGTGGGAATTCATTCAGCATGACCCTCAAACTGCATTATGGGTATTCTCTAGCCATTGAGTGTACATCAGTTGTACACTTGTTATTGCGGTGCATTATGGGATTGAATGAATGCACTCGATAACATCCACAATGGTTTCGGACACCACTACAAATGACTCTCCCTCACGGAATTGGCTAATCGGGAGCACCGGGAGGATTCCCGGTGGGCCGGTCTGTTTTTTTGGCCACGAGGGCCGCGGTGTTGTCATGCCACTGGGGTTGAAATATGGATGCTGTCCACTAATAATATATATTATATATAGATCAGTAATGCTGTCCCTAGACTGCCTGCACTCATAGCAGCCCCACTCTTTTTATTTATAATTTTCTCGCAGCCCATATTATTATTTTCACCAGACCATATCAATAACAAATTCTCAATTGATAATTAATCATTCTTTTTGCGCAAATCATTGTTTTATTTGCGAAGTAGCCGTTTGTGGCAGGCTTTAAGACCAAGCGGAATCTTCTGCCGGCTCTCGCGCTGATGGCAGTTCCCTTCACCGTCCGCGTTTTGATTCAGTTTGGGCGAATGCAAACATCTTATTGATCATGAGCCCAACATTCAATCTACCTGAGGGAAGACGTCTTTCATTGTAATGCAGTTAAATAGAGAGAGAGAAAAAAATACATTAAAAAAAAGTAACTTCAAGCATATTCTTGGACCTCATTATTGAAGTAGGCTACAAATCCAAGCGCCAGAAGCAGCCCACACTCTCTAAGTTTTCTTTCACTGAAAAATACGCATTTTCATTAATTCAAAGGCTATATGGTTGCAATGACATTTTAGTTCAAAACTTTAAATGCCATTGTTTAAAATGCTTTATTGACTGACGTTTCATAGACCTTCAGTTGTTACGCTTTCAAATTTCATGCCATTTGTAATTTCACTCACTTTTCACCTCCTAACTTACTACACTTGTGAAGTCACAATTCTATATTGGTACAATTTACTCAGGCCGAT